CTGCCTCGCCTTGGAGAATCCCAGAGGGTGAGAAAAGTTAATGGGGTGGTCTCGGGCCTGCAAGTCCCTCTGCAGTTTTGAATTTGGCTGTTGCACCACACAGGCTGATTAGCGGCCGTTGCTTTCTGTAAAATGGGAATAAACTGTTTAGCAGCCGTAGCGAGGGGGGCGAAAATGCAACTGGGCGAAGGCCTCCAAAGTTGCCTTCCCGGCCTCACGGTTCCCTCTGTTCTCCCCCCGCCTGGGTTTCTCAGTGGTGTCCATCGAAGACCCCTTTGACCAAGACGACTGGCCCGCGTGGAAGAAGTTCACGGCCGAGTCGGGGATCCAGGTGGTGGGGGACGACCTGACGGTGACCAACCCCAAGCGCATCGCCAAAGCTGTGCAGGAGAAGTCGTGCAACTGCCTCCTCCTCAAAGTGAACCAGATCGGCTCGGTCACCGAGTCGCTCCAGGCGTAAGTCTTCCGTCCGGAGGGAGGGGAAGCGGGGAGCCGACGGGACGTGGGCCCTTGAAGACCTCAGGAGGTTGTGGAAAGGGCTTTGTGAATGGGAAAGGAAGGGGCAAGTAGTAAAGAAAGTCCTGGGTTGTGATGAATTGGGAGGTGAAGGAAATGAGGCTTAGTTCTGTCTTGGCTGGTGTCTCTTGGTCATGAAAAAATTGAGCCCTTGATCCAAAGTTCATCATTTGCAGCAACAGTCAGGACAGGAATGTTGCCTGGAGGGGAAGGGCAGTGTGTTTTCAGTAGCGTCCTAGCAAATTCCCCGCCGGGCTTCAGCTGCCTTCACCGGAGATGTCATCGCCAGCATCTCTGGGTGGTTAAGAAAGGATGCAGAATAGCAGGGGACAAGTTCAGAGAGGCCCGATCCGGCCCCGGTCTGATCTTGGCTGCTGGTCTGTGACCTGCCTGCTCCTCGTTTCAGCTGCAAGCTCGCCCAGTCCAACGGGTGGGGCGTGATGGTGAGCCATCGCTCCGGAGAGACGGAAGACACCTTCATTGCAGACTTGGTGGTGGGTCTGTGCACCGGACAGGTGAGCGTTTGCCTGCCCCAAAGGTTGCTGTGGGGGGGGGGGGGGTTTGGGTT